CTCGTTTATATGAGTAACGGTGTCAGTATGCACAATTAAACGAAGACGGCATGTTAGTTGAAGTCACTCATTAAAATTAACTGAAAAAAAAAAAAAAAAGGGAGAGCTCTAAAGAAGATTGAAATCTCCTTCGGAAAATGAGATCTAGAACTAACCCTAGCAGAACAAATCTAGACATCAATGGAAGAAATTAGGACTTCGAATTCAGGAAAAAAAAAATAGGGATGAGATTCCAATAAGATTACTACTCCCTAGGTTTATGTTAATAGTGTAAAAATCGGAACAAAAAGATCGAATTGTTTGGTCAAATTACATAACAGAAAGCAAGAGATGCATAATAAGCGAACAGTTTAGAGATTAAAGGAAGAAAAGATATATGAGACCGGAGTGTATCTAGATCTCACCGGCGGTAGTTAATGGTTTTCCGGCTTTGAGTTGGTTGTATGCCAAGCCGATGGTTCCTCTTTTCAGTACTACCAGATAGGAGACGGGGGGAGATGAAATACTTATTAACGGATCTTTACGTGAGTACCCGAAAACGAAATCCTTTTACACTACTGTCCCTGGGGCTTCTTTTTTTCGATTTAAGTTATTTTGGGATGATACTTCAAAACCTCATAAATGGACCTTTTGTATTTTTGAAATTTGGGATATATTATATAGTCTCGAAAAAATAAAATAAAAAAACTTGAAGATAATTATTATGTTTTTAAAACTTTTAACAAATATTCTTTTACCCACATAGACTTGTATAACTTCTTTAATATATTTTTAATTTTTTTTATTTAAATATTTTTAAAAGTAAATAAATAAAAACCTCACCCCTCTGAACAATTGATCGTGATTTCCCCACCGACCTAAAGCTTGGAAATAGTGGTTGAGCGAGCTTCAATGAACAATTTATATATTTTTTATTGAGAGAGAGGTTAATCATTTTTTTAAATGGTTTTAATTTAAAAAAAATATAAAATAAATTAAAATGATAAATAAGTTTTTTTTATGTTGGAAGAGAACTATTTATTAAAAGTTTAAGTCATATAGATTATTTATTAAAAAATTTGAAACCATAAAGATCATTTATAAGGTTTTTTTAACAAGAGTATATTCTAGATTTCGAGAACCCACAAATATCATTTACGAGGTTTTGTTTTGTTTTTAAATAGTTTTTTTTTTCATTTTTTTTCAATTCTCTATTTTAATTTTGTTCTTTAAATTTCATAGTTTTTTTTTTAATAACTTTCAAATAAATCTTTTTATATCTGAAAAATCTATTTCAAAATTTTTAATAACAGCGTTTTTCAATCAAATATTTGACTTTAAGCCTATTATTATATGTATTTCTCATTTACTATGTTTGTTTAATTTTTTATTTATTTATAGTAAAATACATCATTTTTCCTTGAAATTCCAAAAAGTTACATTGAATTTCGGATTTGTTTTTGAAATTTCACAGTTCTTTTTTTCGAACTCTGAAATTCAGTTTAAAATCTGGAATGTTAGTCTAAATAGTTTTTTTTTTGTCATCAAAAATGTTTTTTGCCACTACAGAATTCTCCATTCTAGGCTTGGTGGTTATTTTGTCAAAAAAATGTATTGTCATTGTAGCCTTACAAACTTACATATAACTGTTTAAATGGTCACTCGTGACTATTTTTTTGCATTTTAAGGGCATGCACTTGTGTTTTACCGATTGGAAAAGTCATGTTACCCATTTTAGCAAGTTATCATGCCTCGATATTTGCCAAGTAAGCAAGTGAGTGAACCCGTTGAATCAATACTTAGTTAACTCGATGACACACATGCATAGAGTAATTATTGCCTTTAATTTCTACCAACACCCCACCAACCCTTCCATTGTCGATTGAGTTCCAGCCTTAGGTGTCATACCCCCAAACCTGAACGGTGGAAACATTCGGGGGCGGAAGACGTCATGTACAGTATCATAACAAATGAATAGTAAAGAAAATACACACAACCATCATATACATAATTCAAAAGTTTACATGATTTTAGTATTACATGTTTGCAAAAGTCATTTACAATATGATGTCCAAAAGATTAAACTAACGCCTGAGCGTAAGTCTTCAAAAGCTGTCGCTAACCTGGTTTAACGATTTCCTGAGAATACAAGTTATTTCAAAGAAAAAGTATCAACATTTAAGTTGTTGAGTTCATAAGTAATGTTTTGAGAAAATGTATGCCATTCGAAAGTTCATGGTCGTTTTCCAGAAAATCCGATATTTTCTTATGAGTGTATGAAATGAGTATGAGTGTTTGTTGTATAAATTGTATGTATTTGAACCAGGAAAATCCTATATTTTCCTAAAAGTGAAATGTAGTCTTATATGAACCAAGACCATGAATGTAAGTAAATATGCCATACTTAAACTGAGAATGTATAGTTTTATTATTAAAATAAAACTAGTTGTGGAAGTGTTTATCCTAGATTCTGAACATGTCGATAATACCCTATAATATAGTTATTACCCCCCAAGCATGATTGAGTTGTGTATTACTACGTGCATGAGTCATTGTTTTTGCGTGTTGTGAGTTCCTCATAGCCATATTAGACGCAGTACCTAATGTTGACATTTGTCACCCCGGGGACTGTAGCTAACAGTCAGGGTGCGGAGTCATCAGCCACGTATAGATATATACACACTTGTCACGCTCTCCCTCCAAGAGACTCTGGTTATAGGTGGGGACTTTTGTTTGGTACAAACAAAGCCATATGTCATCACATGATTGCTAACAACAAGTTCACGAGTAATATGATGAAAAATCGTTTGTATGAAATGATTTCCTTTTCTACCGTGTTACAAAGGCGTGATGATGATTTGAGCTTTCTTGTAAAAGTATCATGTTATAGTTGAAATGGTTACCCTTGATATAATGTAGTATGCAAACGTATAAATAAAACATATTTCTATTTATAAAACCTATTGTATCCCACGAGGGTAAAGTTGTGTTGTGAGATGTTTTGCATGATAACAACTTCATACGATAGTTAAAATAACAGTACGAAAAGTAGAGAAAAAGATTGGTGCTTCACACGATTTTAACTGTGTGTTTACTTGTATTCCCCCCCCCCCTAAAAGTGTTTCAAAAGCATTTAAAAAACATTTATAGTGTGGTTGTAGGGCTATGAACTCACTTGATAAGTGGTGAATCGAGCAATGTTTCGTTTCCAAGAAGGATCGTTCTTAACGTAACCGCGAGTCTTGGATGAAGAAGCAAGCTTCACGCGGGTAGTACTTTGACTGGAAAGAGGTAAGTTTCTCGGAAGATTCGGAGCGTTGGGACTTGCATCATGTGTGAGAGGTGTTATTGGGGCTTCAGGGTGGTTTAGAAGGGTTTAATAGCGTGTAGAAGTAGGATAAAAGATGGAAATGAGCAGCCAAACTCGGAAGGCTTCAATTTCTATTTATAGGCAAGATTTCGACTCTCACATCGTGAGTTTTCATAACACATGTCGTGAGTTTGGTCCCACTTCGCTCATGGCATGCGTCACTCATCAACTTGCTCTGGAAGGGTCATTCAGACTGTTCACGTCGTGAATTTTAAGGCTCACGTCGTGAGTATTATACGTAGACTTGACTTCTGCATTCTAGGCCTAAAAAGTGGTGATTTGACTCCTCACGTCGTGAGAAATGATGCTCACGTCGTGAGTTCAGTTAAATTAGGGTTTCTGACACGCATCCTGCTCTCAGATAATTGTATCTTCGGAAGGCCATAACTTTTGCATACGAGCTCCGTTTTCGATGTTCTTTATATCCACGCAAAGGTGGAGACATACTCTACAACTTTTATTAAGATAATTAAGGCTAAAACTTAGCCTATCTTAAACTCATTTTTTACACTAAACTACGTTTTGTCATGGATCTTTGATTAGTCATAACTTCTTCATTATAACTCGGATTTTAGGGTTCTCTGTAGTTCCAAAAACCTTGTTATGGTATCTAACACTTGGTATATCCCAATTATGGTTTTATAGAAGTTAAATTTTCACCTTAATTTCACTGGTGTTACATTAGGTCTCGAATTAAAAGGGGAAACACCCATGTGGGGTTTAAAGTAAAACAACCGTGAAATTTGTTTACCATATTCGGCCAAACAATCATCAACAAGAACCCTTAAAAAAACAAAAATGTCGGCTCCACCACCTTCACCCAACTCTTTAAATTCTAGTGAAGACATCAAATACAATGTGCTTCACTCAATCTTCTATAAATGTGGTCAGAAGATTACAGAAAACCAATATGAAATGCAACAGTTGAAGGAGCAGCTCGGACAAGACTATATCGTGTGCATGATCGACCACTTCAGTCTCCAGCATAAGCTGGATGACCATGGTCAGAATTTTAATTCGTTAGTGTTGTGATGGGTGACATGATGGTGGGGATGCTCTTATTGCTGGTGGTTGTGCTCCATTTCATTGTTAAGCTTGGGTGACGGGTGGATCTGAAGCAATGGTGGTTACGAAGCATATTAGTATGTAGATTTTCTCTTTTTTATTTTTATAATTTTTTGACGCTATATGTGAAAGACCTGTCTAAATGATAGGCATTTTGTAAGTGAACTCCAATGATGAATGAAAGACCTATCTAAATGACAAGCATTTTGTAAGATTGAGTGATGTTCTTTGTTCATTGCTTATGATCCTATGTACTAGTTGCTATCCAGAAAAAATTCCATTGAAAGTGCAATAGAAATGGGAATAAGGAAAAGTGGGGATGTTAGTGACCCCAAGTGCTTTGCACGGTGGGGGTAATTTAGTCTTTTACACGTACTAGCAAAAGTTTCTTTTATACCTACTTATTTCATTCTAGCACATTGTTTTCTTTTTCAAATACTCTCCACTATGAAGCTACATAATGAAGAACATGGAATGTAGATGTGGAGTTGAGGCTATAATACGAACATCACGTACTACCAATAACCTAGGAGGCCCTTTTATGCATGTCTCAAAAAGGTACTTTACCATTTGTTCATTTTTTGATGTTAACCCTAGTTTTCTTACCATGTATTAATTCAGGCAAATAACTAGAATCAGGATGCTCGTTCAGGTTTTATAGCTTGGGTTGATGAAATGTAGTGCAACAATGAAGGTGTGATCATAACTAGGTTGTTTAGGTCGAACAAAAAGCTTCAATCTGAGGTCTTTAAGTTGAAAGTGTACATAATATGTAGTGTAACAACCCAAAATCAGATAAAAAATTTCATTTTTAAAACAAGTGCTACACGTATAAAAGTTGTTCTAAAACCATCACAATATGAAAATGTCACATCATCAGAGTACAATATCAAATATGCATAAATAACGGGAGAGAATGTTGTGTCGTCACGCCAGGCCCTTCCCCTTAGAACTGGAAGTTGTTAGGACACAGTTAATGGTTTATACTTTACTTTTGTTAGTTTTTAGTGTTCTCGTTCCAAGACCGAAAGGTTGACTTTCAAGGTTCTCCGTCAACATTAATTCATCAAACTATTGGTGTTTTCAGTAAAAGGGCATTTATTTTCTTGGTTTTCAGTTAAAATCTATCTATACAATCAGGTTTTTTTCTGTTGGTAAATAATGAGTTCCTACAACAATACCAAGAAGGTAAGTGAAACCCCATGCTCTCAGTCATGTGAAGATAAAGTTAATAAATATCGTGAGCATAATGAGTTATTAGTTAGAGAAGTTTTTCACATTAAAAATGAAATTTATGAACTTAAGAAAGTCAACAAACATCTTAAAGAAAAACTAGATGCTCAAAACAAATATTTAATTAGAATGGGGGAAGAATATAGCACAAAATGTGTCCATCATCGTTATACCAAAGAGGAAATTGTCAAATTAAATGTTGAACTTGATGCATTAAAGGCTAAATTTAAGGATGTTGACTTTACTTTTAAGAAATTTGATGTGTCAGGTGAGAAAGTCAATTATATGATAGAAAAATAATTAAAGTGGAAAGAAAAATAGGGTACGGGTCTATGGTATCATAATGTTCCACCTCCCTTCAATGATAACTATACTCCACCCCTTGAAACTAAAGAGATGGAGACAACTGCACAGTAGCCCCCTGTAACTGCCCCAATCAAGACTAAACAATCCGACCCAATTGAGAGTATTGATGTGAATAATTATAATGCTTCTACTTCATGTGCAAATAAAGTAATTGTGCAAGATTGTTTCGAGCAGAACAAAAATAATTCTAGTTATGCTGAATCTGCTTCAAAAACTTGTGATAATAATAATCCAACTGTTGAAAACTTCAAGCCACAAAAGTTTTTTAAACAGTTTAATAAATGTGTTTGTACTTGTAGAAATTCATTTGGACGGGGACCAAGTTCTGAGCGTATTCCTATTAAAAGACAAACTTTTCTTAACTGTGGAATTCCTGATCACATTGCTAGAAATTGCCCACATCGTTCATACGTTCCCTACTATAAACAAGGTTGGTAGAACTTGCCAAGGGGGACATCTTCCAAAAGAAATCCTTCGAGTTCACGTTCACACAATAGTGATTGGAATGCTAAAAAGGCCAAGAATCAGACTCCCAAGGACAAAAGGGGCATGTCGGATAAGAAGCCTAATTCGAGAGATGGTCCAGCCAAACCGAGATTGGTAAGGTAGAATTCATCTCAAGGATCATCCTCTAGTTCACACTCACAATACAAGCCTAAATCGAAAGACAGTCCCAACCTAAAGGCAACTGAAAGGGTC